TTTAGTTAAAAATTTTCTGTGACTTATTTAACAGTGAATCCATTCGGAACTCCGTCTCGACGGATTTTTCTCGGTTTTTCGGAGTTTCGGAGTTCGAGACAAATCGAGAAACTTCGACGAAACTTCGACGAAGTTTTTAGAAAATACCCATTTTTTATTCGTAAAATAATTGAATTCTTATTTTATTTCTACGTGGTTTTTACAATTGTAAATTGTAATTTTAAAAATTGTTTCAAATGTAAGTGTTCTCTTTGTTTAATAACAACACTAATATACATCGCAAAGCAATTGGTAATGCACAGTGGGCCAGGTGATGATGGTGAAAAAAACCTCAAAAAAAGTTTATTCTATTCAAAACCATATATTAAAACATGCTCATACTTTTCCATTGTACTATTTCAAAAACTCTTTTATGTATATTAGTATCTTTTTAGTATTAGTATTTTTTTAAATCCACAAAAATCAATTGCGATATAATAAAATGTAATGCATAATAAAAAGCAAGAATTTTTTAATTTTTAAGCAAAGATATAATAAACAGTAACTTTTAAAATATTATGCGAATGTGATATTAGTTTATATATTTTAACTACTCAATAGTTTATCTTTACAAAAAAAAAGTTTAGTCAAGATCATTATTTATAATATAAACAAAGACTGGTCGTAAAATAACGAGGTAAGTTTTTAACATATAAAACATATAAAACTTTCATTTTATACAAGTAGTGTCGTATTTTGTATGATCAAAATAATTTTGTCCACCATAAGTCTAAAATCCGGCCCACTGAGCATTGTGGCAAAATTGTGCAATAAAATGTTATCAGTTAAAATAAATAATAATAATAATTAATGTTTAATTATACTTACCTATCAGAATAAATAACTTAATAACTTAAAATGTGATAACTTTTCACAATTAAAATAAAATTAAAAACAAATATGGGAGGTCATTATCAAATTGATAATTTTTCTTTCATAGAAAAAAATGGTTTCGGAAGCGTGGAAGTACTTTAATAAAGTTGTGGTAAATGATAAGAAGTATGGAGATTGCAAAAAATGTCATAAAAGAATCGCTTGTCCAGGAAGCAGCACAAACGGCCTTATTGGACACGTCAAAAGTTGCGAGAAAATAGATTTGAAACCATTCAGTTCCAGACCAGTTTTGACTAAAATGTCATTAAACGATCTTCTTGCCAAGTTGACAGCTCTTGATGGGTATTCAATTAGGTCCATAACTCAATCTGAAACACTAAGAATGCTTTTTGAAAATTACGGGCATAGTTTGCCTAAGTCAGCGTCCGCAATTTCAGAAAAAATTAAGATGTTTCATGCTGAAGCCAAATACTTAATGATCGCTGAATTGGCTGCATTGAAAGCAAAAGGAGAAAAATTTGGACTAATAGGTGACGAATGGTGTAGCAATAGAGGTAGAAGATACTACAATTTAAATTTTCATCACGACAGAACGTATTGTTTAGGAATGATGAGATTGCCATCTCCTAGTTCTGCTGAAACATTAAACATTTTGATAATGGAAAAATTAAAAGAATTTGGTATAGATAGTGAAGATATTGCAGGTAAAACTACGGATGGATGTAGTTGGATGGTGAAATTGGGTACCATATTTAAGTTTCCACATCAGATCTGCCAGAATAATTCAATTCATTTGAGTGTTTGTGATTTGATATACGCTAAAAAAGATTGTCGCAAAATTGTGAACAAAGAAACTGAATCGATTATTGAAACAGAAACAGAAACTGATGGAGAGTCTGAAGGAGAGTTTCTTATTGAATATTCGGAGAATGAGATTGAGTATGAAGAAAATATCGAAAAAAATCTACAGAAACTTCGAATACTAATTAAGTTTTTGAAATATTCATCGTTTCGATATGAAGTTCTTAAAAGAAAAATACACGAAATATACGGATCTTCGCATGACAAAGGACTGTTGTTCGACAACCGAACAAGATGGAACAGTGTTTTTAAGATGATTAAAAGATTTCTGGATTGCTTAGAAGCTGTAAAAAAAACACTCGAAGAGCTAAACTGCTTAAACATGTTAGCTGAAATTAACTTGGATTTCTTAAAATCGCTGTCTGACTTATTGGAAGTCGTTGCTGACGCTGCAGTTCGCTTGGAAAAACCAAATACAACAATTTTGGAGTGTGACATTATTATGGAAACGTTAGTATTGAAATTGAAGGTTGCAGAAACTGACATCAGTTCTAATTTTGCAGAGACCTTAATCTCCAGATATGAAGATCGTAAAAACGTTATGTTGGTATCATTGAGTCGTTATTTGCACAATCCCGATTTTTTTAAAAATAAAAACCACACATTTTTTTATGCTTCCAAAAAAGATATTCAAATTTATGCTTCAAAATTATTTGATCAACTATTTGCAACAAAAGAAAATAGTCTCCAATCAAAATCAGATGATCATGCTAAAAACAAACAAGAAGAACCATCACAATCGACATCTTTTTTCTCCGAAATTCAAGAAGTTCTAATTCAAAATCAATCAGCAGCTAAAAAACCAAAAAACGTCAAGACCTTCACCGATCAGTTGAAAGAATATGAAGTAACTGGTGTGAAATCAGAAACAGTTTTAAAATTTGAACTAGCCATCCACAGAATTCAAGCAACTTCCTCGGAAGCAGAAAGAGTTTTCTCCTCGTCTTCACAAAGTTTCGTAGTTCGCTTTCTGATGAAATGAAAGGTGTTTTGATCTTTTTAAAATATTATTTAAAAAGATCTTCAGTATAAATACTTTTTTTTTCAAATTTTTTTTTTAATTTTTACTATAGGTGCCCCAACAAGTCTTTATTGCATAGCAACGCAGAAGGGAATTTAACTGAAAGTTCACGCCTTCTTCTTAACCGATGCCGGTTAGAAAGCCAATTATTAGATATAACTTGTTTGTTAAAAAATTGTGATAAAAAAAATATTTATGTACTAAGAAATATAAAAATATAAATTTTTTAAAATTTTATTATGAATTATAAATCAAAATATTTAAAATTAAAAAATAAAAATACAAGAACAATGTTTAATTATCAAATAGAGAGTTTAATTTTTTTATCAAATAATTTAATTTTTATAACAAAATATTATCGAAACTCCGATTTTTTCTCGACTCCGACGGAGTTTTTTTTCGATTTCTCTCGACTCCGTTTTTTCTCGATTTTGGATCCTTTGTTATTTAGTCGCAGAAAATTGGTAACAGAATAACTAAGCATTATTTTGACCTTTTATAAAAAAATCCCTATTGAAAGTATAACTAAGCATTATTTTGACCTTAAAAAAATCCCTATTAAAAATTTTGAAAAATCCCTATTAAAAATATACAACAATTATAAAGGGTTCTTTTTATAATACTGGTAACATATTCCACAAATTCCACTTATGTTTGAAATATTACAATAGTTTTAGACATTTATAACTTATATTGAAGTTTATTAACTTGAGCATTCATTTCTGAAGAGTCTTTATTGATGAAACATTGTGATGGTAAAAATATTTAATTAGCCATTTTCTTCACTTTTTGCTTCATCCACTAAGGATTTGGGATATATATATATATATATATATATATATATATATATATATATATATATATATATATATATATATATATATATATATATAAATGTATATATATGTATATATAATTTTAGAATATATGAAAAAAATTCAACATTGTTATGGAACATAAAGTTGTATGCATATTGGCAATCATCAGCCATAATTATTCTTTAAGTCAAGAAAAAACCGTTAAAAAATACAAAAAACAAAGCAATAGAATGAGTTCTGACATCAAAATAAAATAAAATGAAGTAGAAAATTGGTTATTCAGCTGTGTCAAATGGGACGAGAAGAAATTTATTTCTGCACTTTGATATTCACTTTTTTTAATTAAAATATTAGGCTTTTTAGAGAACAAAATATCATAATTTTCTTTTATGCATATTTTATAAGATTTTATGGTAGGGTTATAAGAATTGCATTGTTTGATTATTTTCCATTTGACAGCTGGGTTTAAATTTGCATCTTTTAGTTTCCAAATTTTTAGTTTTCTTATTATAGTTTAGTGTCATTTTTGTACTTAGGAGTATTAAAGGATTTCATACAGTTAACATATCTAATTTTAAATGATGTTTCGCTTATGCCAATGTAGAAATTATTGATAAAAACGTGAGCATGATCATTGGAACTTAATTTAGCTTGGCATACAATGTTTTTTTGTTAAGAATTAATTTGATATAGGGCAGGTATTCTTATTAAGTCAGTTGCAGTTGGTTTTAGGGTGTAATGTTGTTGTTTATAATGTGATGATTGTGTGCATTTAAAATAGATTTCATATATGCCAATTTCATGTATGCCAATACAGCTATAACTTAATTTTACTTAATTTTAGTTTATGATTAAAAATCTTTTGTTAAAAATCTTTTTCCTACATTAGTGCTGACATTTTTACTGAAAGAATTTTTTCCTTCATTAGTGCTGACATTTTTACTGAAAGAATTTTTCCTACATTAGTGCTGACATTTTTACTGAAAGAATTTTTTCCTACATTAGTGCTGACATTTTTACTGAAAGAATTTTTTCCTACATTAGTGCTGACATTTTTACTGAAAGAATTTTTACTTAAAGGGGCTGAACCAAATGGTGTAGCGTTTACGATTCTTGTTGTGAGTTAAATTTAAATTAGGGCAGTATGAAAGTTTGTAATTAAAGCCAATGAATGATAATATAAAAAATGTTTATATAGTTATTAAGTTAAATATTATTAAATAAGCCAATAAATTTCAATAACCAATGAATTATAAACACCATAAAATTGTTTTTGTATTTTTTCATACAATCTAATATTGGTCTATTTTATAATCAATTTACATTATATACATTGCTCTTAAACAAACAAAAAAGGCATTGTATTTGAAAATTTTAATTTGAAAATTTGTTAAAAATGAGTAAGAGTTATCAAAATTTTCTTTAAGATTGTTTGATCAGTTTGATGGAAACTATTGGATGTTTGTCTATTTCTGCATCTGAGTTGAAAATGTTTATTGGGTTGTTTCAAACAGTGGAAGTATAAAAATTTTTTTTATAATTAATATTATTTGTAAGTTTTTAATTTCTAGTTCTATCAGTGTTTCTTTTTTATCTCTTTGTGTGCTAAAATTTTAACATTTGTGTCTATGCTTATAATTTTTTTAATCATTTTCTTAAATTATTAATAAATATTAAGTTTAGCTTAGCTGATCGACTTGTCCAAGCATTAGAGAGAATGTCTTCTCCAATATCATCTGAGGAGACATTGAGACATCAGCCAACCCACTACATTGACTTTTATAATATATACAAAAATACTGTAAGTAATAAAAAATTATTATTATTTTTAATTTATATTTTAGAATACAAAGTATATGAACTGTATCTAAATACAGTATTTAGCAGCCACTGTATGACATTTTGGAAAATTTTTTCTTCAAAGTTTTTTGTTAAACTTTTAATGATAATCCTATATAGTTTATAAAAGATTTTATTTAAATAATATTTATATATTATTTAAATAAAAATATTATAATTGGTATTAAGTAGCACTGACATACACAATTTTCCTTTCCCATACAACAATAAGTGTATTTATATAATTTTTTTAGGCTGATTTCAAATCTGAAACCGTTTTGCTCTATCACATTCTGTTCAAAAATAAATGGCTCTTAAACATTTTTTCGAAATAAGTCTTTATCTGTAGTATATTTTATGCCATAATTTTATTGATCTCTGTTTTCATACTTTGTTTTCATAATAAATATTATTGACATGGCTACTCGAAAATGTTTGAATTCTTCTGATTTGTTTTACTAAGTTTGTGGATTTTTTACCAATGTTTTGACCATTGGAAAACGATAAAGCTTATGATCTTTATTTCGACTCGTTGGTCATGCGGAGAAACTCATTGGTGACGCGGAGAAACAGTGGAAACCTAATATCCTTTGCTACATTTGTGCAAACACTTTAGCAGGATGGTTGCAAAAGTGACCAAAACACAAGTCAATGCCTTTTGGAGTTCCAATAATATGGCATGAATCAATAAATCATGCCACTGATTGGTACTTTTGCATGATAGTCATAAAAGGATTTTCATTTAAAACTTGTAAATCAGTATTATATCCCAACATTTAATCTGTGTCCAAGCCAGTGCTTCACAACCCTGTAAACTGTCCAGTTCCAGTTCCCCCTGATTCATACCCTATTCACTCAAATGATTCTTTTCAGAGTGACAAAGACAATCAAGCTAGTCCAGAAAATGTGAACGATTTTGATGATGGCTACATTCCTGAAAGCAATCTAATTCATTTAGTAAATAATGCAGAGTTTTCAAGTCTTATACATGATCTCTCTGACAAAATTCAAACGTGATCCTTTTTGACAAAAGAGCTTTTTGGATCCCGACTGAAACAGTGGAGTTTCTTAGCACCTGATGTTCAAATATGTAAGTTTCACTTCAGACAGCAGGAGCTTATGCAGTACTTTACATTAGATGATAATATCTGCTACTGTAATGATATTGACAATCTCACAGCACGTCTTGGTCATGAGCATGAAGTCAAAAACTTGTGTCTCTTCATCAATGCATTGAAAACTAGCCTAAAGTTTTTGCTGCTACATTACAGCAATGTGTTGCCATCCATTCCATTTGCATACTCCACACAGTTGAAGAGACTTATAACAACATCAGTAATGTTTTAATAAAAATAAAATATAATGATTATAAATGTAGAGTGTGTGTTTAAAAATTTAAACACACACTCTACATTTATAATCATTATATGTCCTATGAGTATTGTGTTGATTTAAAAGTCAACGCAATACTCATAGGTCTACAACTCGGCTACACAAAATTCTGCTACTTCCTCTGCGAATGGAATAGCTGAGAGAGATGCACACTTTAAAAAAAAGATTTGGCCTATTCAGGATCATATGGAACCCGGTCAAAAAAATGTTTTGCATGACCACTGGTTTAAAAAAAAGACATCATATTACCACCTTTAACATCAAGTTGGGTCTGATGAAAAATTTCATAAAAGCTTTGGATAAGATGAGTGATGCCTTCACATGTCTTCATTTCATGTTTCCATGAATAAGTGATGCTAAAATAAAGGAAGGAATTTTTGTGAGCCCTTAGATAGAAAAGTAATAGGTGATCATTATTTTCAAGGTCTACTAAATGGAAAAGATCTTGAGGCATGGCTAGCTTTTAAATCCGTTGTTACCAACCTTTTGGGATATAATAAATCTTGCAATTACATAGAAGTGGTTAAAAAGTGCATAGGTGTTTTCTAGAATGTGGGATGTAAGATGTAAAATTTATTTATTTGATTCCCATCTCGACTTTTTTCCAGAATATCTTGGCGAGGTCAGTGATGAGCATGGAAAGCGTTTCCATCAGGAAATTGCTTTGATGGAATCACGATATCAAGGACAATGGAGTAGTGCCATGCTAACAGACTGCTGCTGGTTCCTCCAATGGGATGCCCCAGAAGTAAAATACTATTAGAAGATGGTATTTTACATCTGGGGCATCCCATTGGAGGGATTATTTCTTGTGACTATTTAAAAGAATTTTAAGTAATTATACAATACATTGCAATCATTTTGCTAAGTATAATAAAAGGTAGCCTACATTAATTATCTGAAACGCGCTCATGATTCAAAATATTTCAAAGTGAGATTAAGTGATTAAAAGATTAAGATTAAAGATTGAGATTAAGTTTTTTAAAAACGTTTTATTTTGAAGCATGTGTTCTTTTTAATTTAAAATATGTTTCAGAATCACACTTTCTTTTAATTAAAAATTAACCTTTTGTTTTTCATAGTTTAAATAAATTTTGATTTAATTTTTTTTTTTTTTTCCATGTGTACCTAGCTAGTTTATTTACTGGTTTATTAGTCTGATTAAAGATATAGCTTAAAAAATTACCTTTTTTTAATCCAAAGTTGAAAAGCAGCCAAAAAAAAAGAAAAGATTCCAATAAAAAATTAGAATACTGGTAATCATAGCGAATCAAATAAGGCATGAGCAGTATTTTAGTTGACAAAGAGCGACCAGATTAAAACCTAAAACACCGAAAATAAATGAAACCAAATTTTAACATTTGGTTTCATTTATTTTCATTTTAAGTATATAAAATATTGGATTATTACCTTGAAGCATACTCAGATATTTTATTACCTTAAAATAATAATAAATAACATTTTAAATTTAAATTACTTCAATAATTGCTTATAAACCAAATATAGTTCAAAATAAGATTTGTTATCATTCAATAGCTTTGTTTATTTATATATTATTATATGTCTTGATTAAAATTTGATATAATTCATTAGCTTTGTTTATTTATATCATAAGTCTTGATTAAGGTTTCATATAATACATTCATAAGGTTTGATATTATACATTCATAAGGTTTGATATAATACATTCATAAGGTTTGATATAATACATTCATAAGGTTTGATATAATACATTCATAAGGTTTGATATTCATTAGGTTTTATTACCTTGATTATTTAATTAAGATTAAATTTGCTATTATATAATTTATTAATAATATTTATTTTGTTATTATATAATCTATTATAATAAATTATATAAAATAGTTATAATAAATTTTTTATATTAATTTTTTAAATACATTAGAATTTTTATATTAATTTGTTAAAAACATTAGAAACATTGTTTTTAATGGCATTTTTTTTTTACTTTTATTGCATTTTGCTTCAAAATCTGGGTGTTTAAGTAGATTTGCTGTATGCAAATTTGTACAAAACAATGATTTTGCTCCTCAGAGATTATTTTATTAGTTGTTAGATATTTGTTGTTGTATTTTCCATAATATTGCAAGGTACTGCTATATTATGGAATATTATTGAGACCAGATATTTGTTTTTTTATTTTCCATATTGCAAGGTACTGCTCTAATTGAGTATATAATTGGATGCTTTTAGTTTGCTATCTTTTTAATGCTTTCTCTTTAGACTATGCTTTTGAGACTGTTATACCTGCTTAATATTAGTTGGAATTATAAAACATAAAAGTTTTTTTATATCTTCTTAAGATTATAAGGAATGATTCCGTCTTCAGTTTTCAACTATTAAAAATGAAAATTAAATCTTCCATATTTTTAATTTTTAATACCGCATCTAAATATATTCCAAGTTTTTTTTAAATGATTATTAAAAACCTTCCTAATTCGTTTATAAAGTGCGATTCGTTTATGAAGTGAATAAAAATCGGTTTAAATATCTTTATTTATTCTAACCTGTGCAAAAAAATATTCTTATCATGCTTAGAACCTAAAATTTTTCTTAAGTTTTTGTAAAATCTAATGTAATTAGTTAACTTTCACACATTAATGACACCTTCAACTATAAATGTTTGAACTTGGCTTTGTTTTTTGTTAAATTAGGCTTAATTAATTCAAGCCGTGTCTAGTCATTATTAAATTATAGTAAAGTTTAAATTAATTATTAAACAAAAATGATATTATTTTTGATTAATAACCAAACCATTTGAAAAATAAAGCTTTATCATTTTAGTGAAATGTTTTTTGGTTAATCTTTTTATTAAATAATTTTCATAATATTATTTCATTTAACTTTTTTTTAAACTGGATTTATTATTTACAATTATTTTTTTAATAATATTTTTATTCTGTTATTTAATTTCAGTACATTCAATGTCCGAAAATAAAAAATTGGAGTGGTAGTGGCGTATCTGTTCATATGTGGGTTTGTCTTGATTTCAAGCTTCCAAACAATATTGAATGTAAATCAATAAAAACAAAACACATACTTTACAGGTATGAATAGTAAATATTTACAGATATACCTTTTACAACATTAACTTTTATTTTAAAACTAAAATATTTTTTATATTTTATAATATTTATGTCAATGTATAAAAGGAAATAAAATAGATTTTAAGGACTTAATCCAACATTTGTAGATATAATGTAAAACTTAGTTATCCTGAAGTATTGAAAGTAAAATGAAAAATGTTGCAACTTACCAACAGTTAGGGCAAGTTGCAACAGTGAACAGGTTAGTTTGCAGCACAATATTTTAAAAAAGTTAGGAAAAAAAAAAGAATAAGCAAATAATGATTTTAAGGACCTATTATTATGTTACTGTCTCGCTAATTTAACATGTCTTTGTTCCTTGATTTGTTTCAAGAAAGAATCTGGCTTTGTTTAAAAAAATGATTTTTCTTTGATAACTGTATGTGTTTGCATTGAGTGGTGAAATAAAACTGAAGTTGTCACAAAAAATAGCACCTACTAAGTTGCTATTTTCTGTGATAATAAATAAATAATAAGTCCCTATAATCTATTTTATTTCCCTATATATAGACATATATATATATATATATATATATATATATATATATATATATATATATATATATATATATATATATATATATATATATATATATATATATATATATATATATATATATATATATGTATATAATATTTATGTCTATATAGACATAAATATTATTACATATTTATCTCAAATTTCAAATGTAATCCATCAATATAAAAAATATTGTAGTTTTAAAATAAATGTATTCTAATTTGTGTCTCTAATAAAGAGAAAAAGAAATTATTTTAGTTTTATCTTTATTACATTTTTTATTACATTCACTTTTGTAAAATTAGTACACACGAGTATGCAATAAAATAAAAAATTGTAAATGTAACATCAGTTGGTACAACCCTCCATTTAGCTTGAATGTCAAAACATATGAGTTGCTATTTGTATATTTGTATATACTTACACATCATTTCACTGATTTGTCATAACACAATATCTGACTATTCTTTTATGTGCTTCTGTTTAGCATCTATTCACTTAATTCACTGGATTTATCTTTCTCTTTGTTCTTTTTCATTCTTCTTCTTAAGACAGTAGATAATAAAGAAGCTGATAGATAAAGAGAAAGGGCAAAATGATTGGAAATAACAATTTCAATGTTATTTCCAATCATTTTGCCCTTTCTCTTTATCTATCAGCCAATAATATTGTTATTGGTAACTCTAATGCTCATCACACTCAAAAGCTTGGCTCTAGCACTACTGACCCTGCTGGCGCTAAAGCTCATAACTTGTTTTATTTCTCAATCAATATTTAACTTTATGACATATTTTCCAGAAAATCTTAATCACTTACCTTCACCCCTTGATTTGAGTCTTGTCTCTGACCCTAGTTTGTGTTCAGTTTTTTTCTTGTTTTCTACTTTATGTGGTTTGGGGCATTTTTTATCTTCTTTAAAGTCATAATTGTACTTCTTTCTACCACCTTAAAAGTGTTTTTAAATATTCTTTTTGTGTATCTTTTTGTTACAGTTCTTGAGCTGATGTTTTTTGTCTGCTAATAATTGCACAATATGTAATCTCCTGGATCTAATCAGGTAGGAAGCTTTCTTTTTTGTTGGTTTCAACTCAAATTTTACTCCATTTTACCTTGCACAGCTGTTGTTTCTAATCATAATTTTTCTTTTTTACAAAAACAACTGTCTGAAAACAAATTTATTTTTATTATTGTAAGAAATCAGTGTAAAAAGGTCTGATGCTGTATGATATGATATGACATGATGATATGATCCAATATTTTCAGTTTACTAAATCTCATGTTTTATCTCAGAAGTTTGAGTTTAGAGAGACTTGGAGAGATTTTTTTTTTCTTCAACAGCGTCATTAACAAAGGTTTAACATTCCATCTTTAATATACATGATCCTATGACTTCTTCTAAGAATAAATCAGAACTATTTGCAAAGAACTTTTCCTCTAAATCAACTCCTAAATCTCTTACTGTCATTCCAGAGAAGCAGGTTAATCAATTGTTAGACATCCAAATTGCTATGGTTTCTGTTGCTAAAGTTATTTATCTTTTAAACTCATCTACTGCTTGTGTTCCAGACAACATTCCTGTCATCACAAAAGTGTTTTCTAGAACCTTTTCAGTTTTATCTTAACTATTTAAAATGTGCTTGACTGAATCTTGTTTTTCTGCATGGTGAAAAACAGCATCTATGGTTCCAATATTTAATAACTGGAGAAAAAAAGGCTAGCACTCTTCATTTCTAGTAACTTCTGGGGTACCACAAGCTTCTATTCTTGGTCCTGTTTTCTCATCATATTAATGATCTTCCTGACGATCTTGTATTTAAGTGGCTTTATTTGTTCATGCCACAACTATATACTCCTGTCTTGCCAAAAACTTGTCATTTCTTGATTGCTTAGAGTGGGCAGCCAATCTTAATTATAATCTCTCCTTTTTAACAAACAAGGCTTGCAGTTAATAACTCCAGCAAAACTCAGTTGTTTACTTCTAACAATTATCACATTACTGTTGGTATTCCTATATTGATGAATGACAATACTCCTCTACTTTGTGTCTTCTTGGATTATCATTCACTAGAGACATCTGATGGAAACCATATAAACATTCTATTGCAAAATTAGCATCTGTTAAGGTTTTTTTTTTTAATTTTATTTAGGTGCCCCAAGTAGTCCTTACGGTCTTATCACAGAGCACAGCGAATGAGTATTTAATTGGAAGTTCATGCCTCCTTCCTAACCAATGTCGCAAAACTTGCCCAGAGGTGGGGTTTGAACCATGGACCCTTTGTTTTTGAGGCAATTGCGCTACCACTTTGCCATGGCTGCTCAATAAAGGTTGCCTATCTTTATCATGCTCATTATTACTCCTAATTTCATTCTCTACCTCTATATATATTTGATTTTTCCCTGTACGGAATACTATTGTCATATTTGGACGGGTTCTTTTATCTATTCTTCAAATGTAGTTGGATCTGCTTTTCTGTCTAGTCTCTATCCCATCATCACAAGGTTTTTTTTTTCTTTTTCTTTTTTATAACTACTATCAAGGTTGGTATTCAAATCAGCTATTATCTCTAGTCCCATTAACCAAAACTCATTTTTGCTTGACTCATAATTCACCAAAGTTTTACATTTAGCATCTTTTTACTTTATCTATCCCTTGATGTTCTAAAGACTTTTATTCATCAGGGATTATTCTGCAGGGATTATCTTTTTACGGATATTTCTGGAATTCCAGATATTTTTCTCAACTTTTTCCATACATACAAGTTTAGGTGTATATTTTTGTAATATATTTGTTTTTTAGGCTTTTTCACTTATCACTCAAGCAAAAGTTAAGAAAATTTTGGGAAAATATTGGAAACAACTCAAAAAATAATTATAAAAATAAGGGAAATTATATTCTGGAAAAACATCCAGAATATAATTTCCCTTATTTTTTTCTTAATTTTGCTAAAAGCAAAATTAAAAAGAAAATAAGGGAAATTATATTCTGGATTTTTTCCGGATATTATACCCTAACAATTTTTCCAAGTTTTAAAATTATGGCCTACTGTTTCTACTGTTTATTGAAAAGAAGTTCCTACTGTTTATTGAAAAGAAGTTTAGCACTTAAAACAAGTATTTGATCAAATTTAGATTTAAGATATTGTTAATATAATAAAATTATAAGGATAGATTTATAATGGTTTGGTTAATTGCGTATATTTAATATTGCATATATGCATATATTTGAAGATAAAAAGTCAAAATAATAAAAAGTTTTATTAACTAATCAAAAATATCAAAAATTCAAACATATCAAAAATTCAACTTCTTTCTCACACATAAATAAAGCATTTTTTTAAATTGCTGTTTAATGTTTCCAATAGACTTCACTACGGTCTACCTAAGAGAAAATATCAGCCCCGGTTGCTTACTATCTTTATGTGTAAATTGTTTACCTTAAAAAAAAACTGATGTGTAAAGCAAGTAACAATGATTAGAGGATTTAGTCAATACCTCATACTTGCTCAGCTGCTTACCATTTTTTAAGTTTTTTCTCTCATATCTTGCTTGTGAGCATCATTTGCATTTATCAAATATAATGATAAAATTTATTTTAGAAATTAATAGTTTGCAAGTGACAAAATCCATAAAAGTGACAGTGACCATAAAAAATATTTAAATGCTCAAAATTAAGTTTTATATTAAATAGTAAAATATAATTATTTGTTACTTATGTTATTTTTTTGTAGATTTATAAATATATTTTTTTTTAGCTTTGTTAATATTTTTTTTTATAGCTTTATGAATAGTGATGGGGGAGGTTTTGAATCATTTTTCACGCATAATGGATTTCTTGTTATAACAGTGTATAATAGGAAAAAGTATTTGTCAGTAACATGTACTTCATCGCCATTTCTTGATCAAGAATGGGTAAGAATTATCAATTTTATTTACTTAAACTTTTTTCAAAAGTTTGATGGTATATATAATAAAACTCAGCATTTGCATTGCATGGCCTCAGCATTTAGTTTTAGTATAAGTTCTAATAAATTTATAAAAAAAGAGAGAAGCTTTAAAGATACAGTTCTATGTGTATATATATATATATCAGGGCCTATACTAGAAAAAAAAATTTGGGCGGCAGTAAATTCCCCCTCCCCTTCCCTGGTACTGGCAAAATTTAGTGGAAAATCAGCATTTTTTTGCGAAAAAAGCAATATTTACTTTAAAAAATGTTTAAAAAAAAAAAAAAATCCTCAATATATACACACTCAATTTAAGTTAAAAACTTAAGTTATATATTTATATATAATTTAAGTATCTTACTAGTATCTAATAGTAACAATAAAAGAAATAAATATTTTATATGCAGTGTTTATTTGTTTGACCACTACTTTATATATACAAGCTTCCCAGGAAAGGCGTGGGGCTTTTTGTCTCGTACGACCATGAAAACGTTTTTCAAGTTAGAAAACGTGATCACGGTCGTTTGTCCAAGTTATATTATATGCGTTACTGAAAAATTGTTTTAAATTTAATAACTGCATAAGAAATTAAAGTAAACTTAAATAGAAAACAATAATAATAGTTTAAATAATTTGTGTGTTGTTTTTATTTTTGTTTTTTTTAGTGGTTATTATTATCAGCAACAAAATTCATCGAGTCAAAGCAAAAAAAAAAATGGTTTTAGGTGTTAAAAAGGATGACTTTCCCATATTTTATGTGTTTTTTCTTTTAAAGACGAAAGAGAAAATATGTATCGTCGTCTGTTTGTAAAATATATTTGTATAATTATAATGTAACAAGTTTTTATCAAGAGTTAAATTATACGATCGCGATTTGCAAGCTCTGGTAAAATATTAGGTCTTTAAAATTTTAGTTCATGCAAAGCTGTGTACTTTGTTTATAAGGAGCAAATTATTAAAAGTTTGCTAGCAAGAAAATTACAAAAAACAAAACAAAAACAAACTTACGACTAAAAAAGTAATAACACTTTAGTCACTAACTGCATTATAAAAGTAATAAAACTATAATAGTGTTATTACATTTATATAGCACTTATCACTTTTAAAGTTCATTCTTTGTTCAAACAACATTAATTCCAAACATTTATTAAAGTAGAAAAGCATCTAGAAAAAATAAAGCTGATATTCAAATATTAACGCGCGTTTTTATGGTCCATTAGTAACGTTTTTCATAATGCTAAACTTTTAATATGATACGTTTTCATAAAGTTGTTTGTCACGTTTTTATAAGTTATTTTAGTTTTAATAATATTTGAATATCCACTTTATTCTTCTAGATATTTTTCTACTTCAATTAAAATTTGGGAATACTAATGTTGCTTGAACAAAGAATGAATTTTAAAAGTTATAAGTACGTTATTAAAGTAATAACATTATTGTAGTGTTATTACTTTTGTAATGCAGTTAGTGACTAGAGTGTTATTACTTTTGTAATCGTAGGTTTATTGTTTTATTTTTTATTTTTTCGCTAACAAGTTTAACTTGATTCTCCCCTTAAAAACAAGGAACCCAGTTTTATATAAACTAAAATTTTGAATACTAGATATTTTTCCAGATTTTGCGTTTTGCATTCGCTTAATTCAACCCTTGTTGTTACATTAAAATTATACAAATAAATTTTACAAACACATTGCAATTTGTATTTTTGCTATCCTTTTAAAAAAAATTAAGAAAAGGAAAATCATTCTTTTTATTGTAAACTTCAAACTTTTTTTTTTGCTTCGCCTGCATCTAATTTTGTTGCTGAATGTAACTCTAAAGAAACAAAAATAAAAACAGTACACAAATTATTTAAGTTGTTAATTTGTTTTTATTTTTTACTATTTCAATCTCTTTTTATTTTGTTAGTTTTGTTTTTTTTGTTTTTGAAACTTTTTCAGCATTATCATAAAACTTGCAAATGGCCGTGTTCACGTTTTCTAAAGTAATATAATAGCGTGTGGTCATACAAGACGAAAAACCGCACTCCTTTTCTGGGAAGGCTTGATATATATATATATATATATATATATATATATATATATATATATATATATATATATATATATATATATATATATATATATATTATATATATATATCTTGTAACATTTGATGTTCTTTAAGCTGCTAAAAATGAACCAAAAATGGAAACAACTTAAAATTTTACAGAAATGTGAAATACTATCATATAATTTAGTATGTAAAAGTTACAGCATTAAAGTCCTCAACTTTTTTCAAAAATTAACTCTATGTAGCATAACGCTTACTTTTTACCATTTCTGAACAAAACAACTTTGTCAGACTTAATGCAGCAAATGGCAAAAAAAATCATTTGGTGTGTGTATTTAGCACATACTGATGTTATTATATGTTGAGTTTTATAGTTTTTATTTGAAGTTTTACCAGCATTTCTATGTTTTTTTGTTGTGATGATTGTAACGAAAAATCTAATTTTAAAAAATAACAAATAAAATGATGCAATCAAAAAAAAAGATAATTATAAAAACCATGTAAGCTATGTAAAAGTATGAACTTTATAACATCATAGTTCTTAATTATGATTTTTGTAGTATTTTTAACGGCTTTTGCTTCTTTAATTTGATCATCTATAATGGCCCACTCTAGATTAATGTCATCTGTGTTGATTAGCCTTACATAAGTTTTGCACCTATTTGATACTAAGAGAAAGTCTTTAGCGCTAGACAATAACTAAAAGATAATAACTTCACGAGATTTTACGCTGTTCCAAATAAATCTCTTCAGCGATCCTCCTACACCATCAATTGCTCCTTTAGCATGACAGGCTTGGCCAGGAAGGCATGCGATTTCAAGTCTTTATATGACCATGCAAATAATATTTTTGATGATTTAACCACGGTTTTTAACAAATGTGCTGAAAAAATTGGTTTTTAATTACGTTGAAAATAAATTACTTTGTCACGTTTATCTTTACTTAAGTTTTTATATTAGCAAAACGTTTTTAAATTAAAGTATCATTAAAAGTATCATTATATTATTTAATTATATAAAATTTTTTTATAAGTAAAAATTAAAAAAGTAAAAATTAAAAAAAATAATTATAAGCAACGGCTTTAAACAGCGATATAAAGTTTAATAAACTTTAATATAAGAATCATTAAAGTTTTTGTTGAGAAGAAAAAAAAACTTTTTTGAAAGCTGTTTGAATTAAATAAAATACTTTGATATTTACTTTCGTTTTTATAGCGCATTTAAGTAAAGTAGCGCATTTAAATAAAGTAGAAAATCACGTCTAATGATTTTTTATAAAAACATCAATGAATAATATATATTTTTTTAATATTATATAAGTATTTATTTTTTATTATAAATGTTTTTAAATAAAAAAAAATTATATCAATTTTTTAAATAAACGATTAATTATTTTTTCTTTTGTACGAAGAATTGTGGTGAATATCTTTTAAAACTTTTAAATGCGTGCGTTTAATAAACAATCATCAGTTGTTAGTAAGTTGTTCTTTATTTAAAAAGGGTTAAATAAAAACATTAGCAAAGATAAACAATTAAATAAAAACTTTAGTAAAGATAAACGATTAAATAAAAACATTAGTAAAGATAAACGATTCAAAGTTATTTATTTTAAACCTCATTTAGATAATCTTATCATTATAGTTTATTTTTTATTTCATTTAAGTTTTAATTTTATTTTTGCTATTTTGTTTTAAGTTATTTTAATTTTTCTTTTTGTTATTTTTTTTACTAAAATTTATTTGCTTATTTAACGAAAAAAAATTTTAAGTTTCTTTATAATTAAGTTAAGATTTGATATAATTTTTTTTAGTGCGTTTTTAAAACGTATTCAAATTTTCAAAACATTTTAACAGCCGCAGTCATGTTAAGTAAAATCAAATAGTATTTATGAGGTCATATTATGACGTGAAATCGCACGTCTTCCTGGCCAAGCTTGCCATGAGAGGTAGCAAAAAAATTTCACTCTATTGATCAAAATTGATATTTCACAAAGTAATGTTGTATAAATTTGGCAATGTAATGGTTTTTAAATTGAGTGCAAGGACCATCAGTCTATAATATAACTTTTTTTATATAATCAATGTAATAGAGGTTATTTCACCTAAGTAAGTAGTAGTGGAATGCTTTGTTTTATCATTATCATTGGATATTATTACAACTGATTTTGGCTCTTATTGGTAAAAATAGATAACAACTGTAAACAAAGTAATAGTGGACTGGGACTAATAAGCAGCTTGAACAGCATCCTGATAACCACATATATAGTTTTGTGAATAATCAAAGTGTATTAAAATTTTGTCTGGTTCGAGATTTTTCTTTTGACTACGGTATTGCTCAGACTGGTACTTTTTAGTGAGATGATTCTCAGTAAACTCTGGTAAATAGTTGCAGATATGTTCATAGACATCTGTTATGCGAAGCTCGAAATAACAAACTTTTTTGTTTAAGACAATTTGTCCCATAAATACTTAAGTTTGATGGGCATGTTCGATAAAACCCAAAGAAATGCGATTGAACGCCATTCCTGACCATGCTTTAGTTTGTTTTAAAAACTTAAGGTGTTTCAAAAATGTGCTGAAAATAAAAATAAAATTTAAAAGATAACTTATCTAAAAAAAGAAAATCTTAAAAAAAAAATAAAAAATCTAAGCTCAAAAAATTAAAATTTGAAAAGGAAAAAGTATTTATATTTTTTTTTTTATAAAATTACTTCACCATGCGAAATACTTTGTAAACTATTATAAATTCAAAAAATAAATTATTGTTTACTTATTACTTTATAAATAATGTAACAAATTAATTCTAATAAAATAGATTAATTGTTTACAATTAACCTATTTTAAGTTATCAAAGAATATTATACGCAATTACATTTATATAAATATATATATATATATATATATATATATATAT